GGGGGGGGGGGGGGTGCGGTGTTGATTTAGGGAAAACCTCCCTATCCAGGGAAGGAGGGAACGTGCTTGTCTGCGGTTGTCTGCGCTTTTTGTACTCTGATATCAAATAATCATTTATTTTTTCCTCTTCGCAGAACTCGAGTGTACGATTTGATTCAGTTGGCCCAGAATCAGATCCCGTGTTAGGCAATCCCTTGTCTCCAGGACTTCGCTCGAATGAATCAGTGGTTTCCAGTGTCCGGTACTCGCTCAGATCTTACTGGTCTCAAGTACCCGCTCGGATCTCGTAGGTCTTCTCTGTCCAGTACTCGCTCGGATCTCATAGGTCTTCAGTGTCCAGTACTCACTCGGATATCATAGGTCTTCAGTGTACTCACTCGGAACTTATTGCTCTCCAGTACTCGCGCGGGTTTCATTAGTTTCCAGTGCTCTCTCGGACCTAACTAGCCTCCACTAATTGCTCGGCGTTTGTGAACAACTAGCTTGATGCTCATCGCCAGGCTTTGTCCATAATATCAGCATTCAAACTCTCCTTACTCCTTTCTGTGGTTAGCATAGTACCAGTAAGGAGAGTTTGTATCTGTTTAGAAGGATTCCTCCCTAGTTGACCTGCAGTATTCACTGTGTTAACACTGGAGAGGATAAATTAAAGGTTAACTGTTTGCGCTGACAAAAAAAATGTGCTGTACATATGGATGATAAATTATCGATAAGATTCTGTTGAAAATATTGTAAAAAAGGTATTGCTATAATATAGTTAAAGAAGAAAACAAAATTTTAGAGTTAAAATTGTGAGGTTTTTTATCATTTCTTGCCCGTGGTGAATTTTATTCAGTAACTCTTCTCAGGGCTAATTTTCTTGTTATGAAGTTGACGTCTTTTATCGAGCTTTTATGTGAAAACGTTGTCCCCGCTGACTGTGGCAAAAATTGACCCAGCCGGGAGGAATTGGGGCAAGTTAAAACAATCTTTGTAAACGCCTTCAACTTTAAGGTGTCTCGATAAAGTTTTTTTCTGGACCATTCCAGTTTCAATTTTAAACATTTTCAATCAGCTTTTAAACAGTCTATCCTCATCGAATCGATATGAAAAATGAAACCAGTAATTTGAAATGGATTGAAGTTTGGTTTAATGTATTTCTTAAGGCGATCGATATTTCTATGGAAACGATAAACCAATAAAATAGGAAATCGGTAAAACATGAATTGTGCGCGAACCAGACCACATGTGATATGATAAAAGCAGATACCAGTGCCTTAAACTTTGGTGTATGGCAAGTAGAATATACAAGAATAAAGAATTTCTGTATGTTTGATCTAGAGTAAATCGCAAAAACATTTCAAATTATACTTTCTGCTCTTTTATTTATAAATAAAACTACAGTTGAACACTATTTTGATGACCGGCAATCCTTCAAATAATACCAAAATGCGTCTTGAAGTTGTGTTTTGAGGCGATCTCGAGAACGAGACTTTTTTTAAAGGTTACTCCCATTATAACTGAAAATGCTTGGTATGGTCTCGAAAAAAACAAACTCTATCGAGACACCTTAATTTCACAGGCCGTTGAGGCGACGCGGGTTCCAGAAAACTGCTCTAGTCTTGGCAATGTTTTACTTTTTTTAAATTTGCCAATTCTTAGGTGAGCTAATGCAAGTGGACTAAACAAGCTGTATACATGATGATAACCCTCTATGAACTATATCCCCTCCTCTCGGTTGAGTAATATTTCTGTCGCGTGAATTAAGATATCCCTGTTTGTAATCCATCAAATATTGTCGCTCGCGCGCGATTGGTCTAAACACGTCACTTGACCGAATATTCCCCAGCTAAACCTGGGGAATATCCGAGA